TCACACCTGTCAGAATGGCTAAAATCAACAACACAGGAAACAGCAGGTGTTGGCAAGGATGTGAAGAGAGGGCAACCCTCTCACACCAGGTGGGAATGTAAGCCGGTGCAGCCACTCTGGAAAACAGTGTGGAGGTTCCTCAAAAAGTTAAAAATAGAACTAGCCTGACTCAGCATGCTAGGTAATTTCTAGGTATTTACCCAAGGAACACAAAGATACTAATTCAAAGGGCTACTGCACCCTGATGTTTATAGCAGCATTATCAACAATAGCATATATATAGGGCTCATATCTATAATGGAATATTACTCAGCCATCAAAAAGAATGAAATCTTGCCATTCATAATGACCTGGATGGAGCAAGAGAATATTATGCTAATCAAAATAGGTCAGAGAAAGTTAAATACCATATGATTTCACTCATATGTGGAATTTAAAAAACAAAACAAATGATCATAGGGGGAAAAAAGAGAGAGGAAAACCAGAAAACAGACTCTTTTTTTTAAATTTTATTTATTAATTTGACAGAGAGAGAGATCACAAGTAGGCAGAGAGGCAGGCAGAGAGAGAGGGAGAAGCAGGCTCCCTGCTGAGCAGAGAGCCTGATTCGGGGCTTAATCCCAGGACCCTGAGATCATGACCTGAGCCAAAGGCAGAGACTTAACCCACTGAGCCACCCAGGCACCCCCAGAAAACAGACTCTTAACTATAGACAACAAACTAATGGTTACTGGAGGGGAGGTGTGGGGTAGAGACATGGGTGATACAGATGATGGGGTTAAGGAGGGCACTTGCGATGAGCAGCCGGTGTCGTTTGGAAGCGTCAAATCACTAATTTGTACACCTGAAACCCGTAGTCCACTGTATGCTAACTACTTGGAATTTAAAGCAAAACTAAAATAAATGAATAAATACAAAAACACTATATTAAAATCAAAATAGAATTATAAAAGTGTTCAAGTAACCCACAGGAATGTAGAGGAGAAAATAAAGACGTGAAAACATGGGAGAGAACAAAGGAAAAAAACAAAATAAAAATGGCAGACTTATGCCCTAAGACCTCAATAATTAATTCTATTAAATGTAGGGATCTAAATTAAAAGGTAGAAACTGAAGAGTAGATTAAATCATATGACCCAACTATATGCTGCTTCCAAGAAAAATAATTTCGGCTGTTACTGTACAAACAAGCTGAAAATAAAAGGATGAGAAAAGATAAATTGTGCAAATATTAAACATGCAAAGAAGAGAAAGAATGGCTATATTAGTATCAAATAAAGTCACCTTCAGAACAAAGAAAATTACCAAAACCAGGGATGGACATTAGACAATGATGAAAAGGTCAGCCCATCAAGAAATAAAGCAATCCTAAACGTGTTATTTCCAAAAACAGAATTGTGGAACACGTGAAGCAAAAACTGAAAGAATGGAAAGAAAAATTGACGAATCCACAATTCTGTTCAGAGACTCTATATCCCTCTCTCAACCCCTGACAGAGCAGCGATGAGAAAATGAGCAAGGTTAAAGGAGAATTGGCCCCATAAAACCATCAATCAGCAGGATCCTACTGATATTGATTGAAACAAGTGGAGCGGACACATCCTTTTTGGGTACACACCAAACACGGGCCTGGACAGACCACATCCTAGGCTACAAGACAAATCTCAACGAATACAAGAAAGTTGAAACTCTATGGAGTGCATTCTCCAGCCACAATGAAATCCAGCTAGTAATCAGTCATAGAAGGTATCAGAAATGTCTTCTCTGCGCTAGCAGCTTCATGACTCCCTAAACCATCACTGGAACCTGAGCAAAGCCCTTATCGATGTCCCTCCCGTGTCAAGTCTAAGGCTGAAAAGGAACTTTTCTGCATTTGGAAGACACTCAAGACTGTCACGAAGGATGGAAAAGTAAGTGGTAAAAACTGATTTCCTCTTTTTTTCTACCCATTGCTAAAGCCAGCCTCCTTTGACATTGAAGAGAAGAGGGGAGAATATTTTCCATACTGAGTATGTGTCCAACACTCACTCCTTTCCACCTTGAGCGGAGATGACTTTGCTCAAGAATGGACGAATGGCCCCCCTCTGCCCATGTGCCAGCTTAGCCACCCTCTGGGCATGATCAGTTCAACTGTGTCATTTAGCCCCTTGGTGAAAAATCTGAGACGGGCTGCCTGGTCTGGGCAGACACCTTCCAGGCTGTGTGAGAACAGGCCTTCCAGGATGCTGGGCACACCACGGCTCACATCCCTGGGGTACTGGTGACAGCCTCCTCCACCCACTCACGGGATTTCAGGGACTCCAACTCTCTCCAACACAGGAGAAAAACGATTTTTTGACAAGAGCGGACCCTGAGGCCGGAAAGCTTAGATAGCATATACCAGGCCACCGTGTGTACCAGACCTAGAACCACCATCTGAGTCCTACAGTTCACCAGTAGCCTCTAATGTTACAAAGTTTGCCCGGGGCCCAGATGAGGGAGGAGCACAGCATAACCGCTGTGTACTAAGAATGGACGCAAGATTTTGCATTATACAAATGCCTTCCTGCGCAAGAGTAACGGGCCATCAAACGCAGAAATACGGCTGCATTCTTAGCAGAAAGCTTCGGACATAGTATCTCCAGTGAAATCAGTAACTTCTCAAGCAGTTCTAAGCAAAGTCCCCAGTGAAGAGCCAATGTGGGACCGACTTTCAGGACCCCAGCCGACAAAACAAGTCCCTGCTGTCCACCTGCACGAGAAGACGCCTAGAACGTGAAACCACGAGAGCAAAGTAATGACCCCTTGCAGAAAACCGCTCCGAAAAGGCAAAGGAAGAATGAGGCCAAAAGCTGCAAAGCAAGACCATAGCATAAAACATCTCTCAGCCCACATCACAAGAGCCGAAATAACTGGCAGAGACGAGCAAACAGCCAGAAACAAGCACAGCTGGAGAAGGTTCCAAGAGAGACGCCCCTCTCCCTCTCCAAGAGCTGAGCCGAGTCTTTTCACTATTCATAGAAAACCAGCGGGAGACCAAGAATCAGTACAAACCTGTCTTCTGCTGAACTGGATGGCGCTCCCTGCACATTTTTGGGTCCACACTCGATGTTTACCTAAACTTTATCCGATATTCTGAATATGTGGGAAATTTTTTAATTTTAAATTAAGTTTATTAAATTGACTTTTCCAGGGCACCTGGGTGGCTCAGTGGGTTAAAGCCTCTGCCTTGGCCAAGCTCAGGTCATGATCCCAGGGTCCTGGGATCGAGCCCCGAATCAGGCTCTCTGCTCAGCGGAGAGCCTGCTTTCCTCTCTCTCTCTCTGTCTGCCTCTCTGCCTACTTGTGATCTCTGTCTGTTAAATAAATAATAAATAAAATCTTTTAAAAATAAATAAGTAGATTGACTTTTCCTACCGTTCAGTATAATGCAGGACAGGGTTGCTGGGTTGGAGGAGGGTACTGGTGAAGGGCTTTTGTTCATCAAAGCTTGGCAGACTGGAAGAGAAATGTCATTGTTGTCCAGGAAGGGACAGGATCTCATATACATTAGTAAAAGCATCTTAAAAAATTTTTTTTAAAAGAGAGGAGAGCAAAGCGAAGAGAACAATCAGAATGAGAGAGGAAGGCTGTGAGCTCACTCTTGTACTCGGCACAGTCCCAGTAAAGTTCCTAAAGTTAAAAAAAGAAAGAAAAATCTGAGTATGAATAACTGTGTTCGAAGACAGTTTTTTAAAAAGAAACAGTAACACTGCGTTTTCGGCTTTCAGGGGGCATAGCCTGAAACAGTAGCAGTGCATAATTTCATAGAAATGAGGAAACAGAAAAGGCTGAGGAAGAAGTGAAGGGAACTCAGAAATAGCAGTGGGGACTGGAGCCCTCACGCATTATGCAATGATGGACTGGACCAAATGTAACCATTCACCAAGGAGTGGGGCAAACCTGACTGACATCTGAGTGACAAATTAAAAACTGTAGGCCTTGGACATATCAAGTACTGGAATGTGACTTAACAATAAGGAGATCCTGTCACCGAGGATTTTATAATGTACTTGGATATATAGGCAAGAAATAGGAAGCCGTGGGTCTGGGTATGCAGAGAATGTCACAGAATGAAACAGGAGAGGCGCTTAAGTCAGCCTTGGCTCGGTCAGAAAACTTTACTCAAGAATTTGAGGTGCGGGGGACGCCTGGGTGGCTCACTGGGTTAAGCCTCTGCCTTCGGCTTAGGTCATGATCTCAGGGTCCTGGGATCCATCGGGCTCTCTGCTCAGCGGGGAGTCTGCTTCCTCCTCTCTCTCTGCCTGCCTCTGTGCTTACTTGTGATCTCTCTTTCTGTCAAATAAATATATAAAATCTTTGGAAAAAAAAAGAAAAGAAAAGAATATGAGATGTAGGGCACCTGGATGAATCAGTTGGTTAAGTGTCCGACTCTTGATCTCAGCTCAGGTCTTGGTCTCAGGATCGTGGGTTCGAGCCCCGTGTTGGGCTCCTCGCATATGAGATATAAGATGGATCCTTAAATCTAAGTGATGAGTTGGAGCGGCCATCCACAGCATGCATGTGTGTCTGGGGAGGAGGGGAGGGCTGCGGCAGGAGGACAGGACCCTGGGGTATGACCACAAGAGTAAGAATTGTGAGCGGAGAGTTACATGGAGGCCATAGAATAAACATCTTTGCTTAAACTACCAAGGAATTTGGACAGTTGTGAAGCACACCATGATTGTATTTCTTCCTAGTTTATTGAGTGTTTCCTCATACATGGGTTTGGCTCTTGTCAAATGTTTTTATCTGTATCTATTGAGATAATCATATCCTTCATTCTATTAATGTGATAAAACACACTGATGGATATTTACGCATTGAACCAATCTTGTATTCCCAGGGTTAAATCCCAGGTATACATATTTCTAGATGGTCCTTACTCCTCATGGTCTACACTTCTTTTTATAAGTTGTTGTATTCAATTTGCTAGTATTTTGTTGAGGATTTTTGTCTAAGTCAAGTTCTTGGCGTGGGCCTCAATGGAGTGTGTCACTGTTTCCAGTGTAGGTAACCTGGGGAGGAAGGGGATGAGTGGCCAGCGGAGTCAGCAGTGGTGCCTACAAGAACCTTGTTGCCCAGAAGAAACGGAGGTGTTTGGCGGATGCTCCAGTCCCCGGTAGATGTGGCAATATTGAGAACCTGAAGACTTGGTGACCAGTAAGACCGAGAGTCATGTCTGATGATAACAGGACCTTCCAGGCACTTACTCAGCAGAGGATTCATATCAGGAAAAGAAGAAAAGCAGGGCAAGTACCACGTGGTGGGTCACAGACGTTTTCAGGAGCTTATAGAATTCATCCTTTGGGGAACCTCAGAAATACACCCAAGGAAAACATACAAGAACTTGCAGGGGCTCTGGAGGGACACTTAAGCAGGAAGAGTGAACTCTAGGAAAACATTCATGATGTAAATGACCTCATTTTAAACTTACTGTAGCCTTAGCACAGACAAATTACAAATATATTTCCAAAGACTATATTTGGGACATAACACCTGACCCAGGCCTGACCCTTATTAATATGGGGATGAGGAAACACAAACCTGCCACCATAGCACCCACTAGAATTTACGAAGACGGGGTTAGATGAGAAGAGGAAAACAGGAAAGGTTTGTAGCCAAAGTACCACGTTGTTCACAGGTAGATCTCACACCGATCTGGTAAGCACATCTTGTGTCTATTCTCAGAAATAAATGCGAGAATTATAACCACGAAGTCTCCTCGTTAGCATCTCATTGTCCCTCCTGGAAAACTGGAGGGTGAGTGTCTCTGTCTGCTGGGGAGAAGCGTCATATAGCAGCGGGGAGAGCTGGGCCCATGGGTCCGTGGCACCAACCGTTGTAACGATACAATAGGAAGATGAGGTTTTTTCATATTTTCTGTCTTCGTCATCAGCACACTTTTTTTTTTTTACTCTGGAAGTTAAACTCACCACACATGCCACAGTCTGCACAAGGTCTTTCCCAGGGCAGGAAGAGCGAGAAGAGGAAGTGAAAGGGGTCCCCGTGAGGAAGGAGAGGCTGGTGGGGAGGTGGGGACATCGGATGACCCCATGTGACAAATAGATACAAATGCAGGGCATTTGGGCAATGGAAACACTGTGAACAAGGAAAAACCACCTCCTTAGAAGTTACTTCTCCCACTCTCTACTCCAGAGACAGCTGGAACATCTGGACATCCTTCAATAAGCCACCTTGATCACTCCATCAGGTCTCTCAGTCTGCGTCCTACTGGCATACGGGGCCCGATCATGCTTTGTTAGGCAGACTGTCCTGTGTAGTGTAGGACATTTAACAGCTTCTCTGGCCCCCGCTTACTACATGCCAGTAGCACCCCCCTGTTGTGACAACCAAAAATGTCTCTAGAGATTGCCAAACCTACCCTGTGGGGCAAGGTCATTCCCAGCTGGGAGCCAGCCCACTACATACCTCACTGAACAGGCAGGATGAGCAACTCATGGCCAGCCTTTAGTGGTCTTGCTAAGACACATATGTTTGAGAGACTCTTAGAGTCTTACCAGGGTCTCAGATCCGTAGGAACCAGAGTGTGGGTCACATGGACAGAAACAGAAATGAAAGCCAAGGCAAGGGAAATGAGAAGAGACAGTGGAGGAGGAAGACCGTGAGTTGCACGCAGCCCAAGGTTGAATGCAGTGACAAGGGCCACAGGTCATCCTAGAAATCTTCCTCTTTTAGTTGCCTCGCAGGAAGAGAGGCCCAGTGGAAACCTGCAGGAGCTGATCTCTGAAAACATATGAACAAAAGGCTCGGCAGGGAGCGTGCCAGACAGCTGTGATAGCTACGAAGGTACACCACTCTCGAAAGTTCTCCCTTCAAGAAAATTTAGTCAAGGGACGCCTGGGTGGCTCAGTTGGTTAACTGTCTTCCTTTGGCTCAGGTCATGATCCCAGGGTCCTGGGATCGAGTCCTGCATCAGGCTCCTGGCTCAGCAGGGAGTCTGCTTCTCCCTTTGTCTGCCGCACCCCCTGCTTATGCTCTCTCTCTCTCTTTCTGACAAATAAATAAAATATTTTAAAATTAAAGAAAAAAGAAAATTTAGTCAAGTAATCTTTGACAAGGAAGCCAAGAATAAATGGGGAAATGATCATCTCTTCAATAAATGGTGTTGGGATACCAGATATCCACATGCAAAAGAATGAAATTAGACTCTCATATTATTCAAAAATTAACTCAAAGTGAATTAAAGATTTAAATTCGAGACCCAGAATGGTAAAACCACTGGACGAGAGCTCAGGGAAATACTCCCTGATCCTGGTCTGGGCAATAATTTTTTTGCACAAACAACAAAAGCAAACAGACAAGTGGGATAATGTTAAAGTAGAAAGCTTTGGCACAGCCAAAGAAGCAATTAACAAAATGAGAAAGTGACATACAGAATGGGAGAAAATATTTGCTTATGATATATCTGAGAAGAAGTTACTATCCAAAGTTTATGAGGAACTCATACAATTCAACAACACACCAACAAAAAGCAATCTGACTAAAACACGGACAAAGCTCCTGAAACAATATTTTTCCAAAGAAGACATACACATGGCCAGCAGATACATGAAAAGATGCTCAACATCCCTGATCACCAGGGAAATGCAAACCAAAACCACAATGAGATACCACCTCACATCTGTGAGAACGGCTGTTATCAAAGGGACAAGAGATAACTGGTGTCCACGAGGATGTGGAGAAAAGGGAACCCTACACACTGTGGCGGGGATGTAAATTTGTGGAGCCACTGAAGCAAACAGTGTGGGGATTCCTCAAGAAATTAAAAATAGGGCTGCCTGGCTGGCTCCGTCAGCGGGGCACGCGACTCTTAATCTCTAGGATATGAGTTCAAGCTCCATGTTGGGTGTAGAGATGATTTCAGAATAAAATCTTAAAAAAAAAAAAAGAAATTAAAAAGAGAACTACCACATGATCTGTTGGTCCCACTTCTGGGTGTATAGCCAAAGAAAAGCAAATCAGGATCTTGAAGGAATTCTGCACGCCCCGTCCCCGCCATGCTCACTGCGCGTTATTCACAAGAGCCAAGATGTGGAAGCAACCTCAGTGTCTGTCCACAGATGAGTGGATGAAGAAGGCGTGGTGTATAGAGACAATGGGATATTCTTCAGCCATTTAAATAAAAAGAAAAGGAAGGCGCCTGGGTGGCTCAGTGGTTAAAGCCTCTGCCTTCAGCTCAGGTCATGATCTCAGGGTCCTGGGATCGAGTCCCGCATCGGGCTCTCTGCTCAGCAGGGAGCCTGCCTCCTCCTGTCTCTCTCTGCCTGCCTCTCTGCCTACTTGTGATCTGTCTGTCAAATAAATTAAAAAAAATCTTTAAAATAAAATTTAAAAAAAAAAGGAAACGCTGTCCTTTGTCACAGGATGGATAGATCTTGAGGGCATTACGCTCAGTGAAATCAGTCAGACAGACGAACACTCTATGATCTCACTTACACGTGGAATCTAAAAAAAGTCTAACTTGAAGAAACAGAGTAGGATGGTGGTTGTTGGGAGCTAGTTGGGGGGGCAGGGGGGTGGGAGGTTTTAGTCCAAGGGTGCGAACTCCCGGCTATAAGATGAGTAACTTCCGGGGATCTAACATGCAGCATTGAAAAAAGAAAAGAAGGAAAACGTCACTCTGCTCCAAGGAGGACAAATAGCCGGCAGCCTCCAGCTGCAACCCTTTCAGGATCTACTTCAGCTTCTGGGCCAAAGCCATGCCCTTCCCAGGCAGCCCCCAGCCAAGGGCTGAGCACCGCGGAGCCGCCAGTGTCTGTCCATTGCAGAACGCCGTCGCTATGCACCAGTCTTTGCCCTAGAACTCCCTATTCAGATGGGCCCGGCTTGTCCAGGGTGCCGCTCTCCCTACCAAGCAGCGTCTGCCCCCTTTCCTTGGGCAAGTGTCAGATCTGCATCACAGTATGAAAACTCTCAGCCCCGTTCTGCTTCCTCTTCAGTCTTTAACAGCTATTACCTTGTCCCCTGCCCCCAGAGAAACCTCTTGCACTCCTAACTCCCAGCAGGTGCCCCCTGGGGGAACCAACATAATGTTGTCCCGCCCCTCTAATGTGGTCCTAAAGGAAAGGGGAGATGGTTGTTAGGTCCTGGCTGGGAGAAGCTGTCGCACGGCTTAGCCCACACATCCGCCACCTAGTGCAGCTCCCAATGCCACCTGCTCAGCCACGGGTAGTGCCCTGGTCTCTGTGCCTGCCTTCCAACAAAAGGGAAGTTCTGGGAAGAGGCACAAAATGCCTTCTAGACTTTATTGCTTCCATGCTCCTGGTTCTAATGTATTTGTCCTTGCTACACTGAAATGCCTGGACTGGGGGGTTCCTGAGCTGTCACCCACTCCGAAGGTCCTCATGCACCAAAGACACAAAAACCTCTCCAAAGTCAAGGTGTCTATAAACACCTGCATTGCCTCTCCATGGGGGCGGGCTCTTCCCCCAAGTCAGAAAAATAGCAACCAGGAGGACGTGAATTTATAGAATAATTCACCTTTATTATTTCATTCAACCGAATGTATTTATACACACAGTTTCCAGAATCTGTCACATGCAGGGTTAGGGAGAGTACAACAGTATTAATGGCGACAGTCCGGGCTCTGATGAAGAGGTTAAACTTGAAGGCAGCTGATACCTTCAAAAAGCAGTAACAGATGACAGACCGTGTCCTCAGAGCACACACAGAACAGTTCACGGTGGTGACATCCGACCGCTTACCTGGGGGGAGACCCCACAGTTAAGTTAGCTTATTGCCCGCACCAGGCAGCCCTCAACATCGTCCGCTCAGCCTCAGCGGGATACCCCCGTCCCAGACCCAAGAAGCAACTGGAAGCGTGGAGGCCACAGCGGCCTCAGACTCCCTCCCCGTGGACTTCCTGACGTGAGACTCAATAAGCCCTTAATGTGTTCAAGACATGATTCCTTGAGCTCTCTGAACTTTACCCTAATTTCTAACCCTTGGGGATTAAAAAAAGAGAAAAGTGCAAAGGAGTTTTCTTTTCTAAAAAGTTTAGTTAGTTAGTTAGTTAAATTCAATTAATCAACATAGACTGTATTATTTGTCTTAGGGGTACAGGTCAGTGATTCCTGAGTCTCATACAACACATATTCTCTCCAGTGTCCATCACCCAGGACAAAGGAGTTTTCGATAAACTTTTCTAGAGGCAATCTAGACTCCTACTTAGAATTCTGGAAATTGGGGCACCTGGGTGGCTCAGTGGGTTAAAGCCTCTGACTTCGGCTCAGGTCATGATCTCAGGGTCCTGGGATCGAGCCCCACATCGGGCTCTCCGTTCAGCAGGGAGCCTGCTTCCTCCTCTCTCGCTCTCTCTCTTAATCTCTCTTAATCTTAAAAAAAAAAAAAAAGAATTCTGGAAATCTACAAGATTGGCTAATCTTGGCAATTTCACCATGTGTCCAAGTTTTGTCCTGCTCTATTTCACGGCGAGGATTAGCAATAAAGTCTTTTGAAACCTCCCAGACTCATGTTTTTTTCCTAAGGGACAAGAAAGAAGAGTAGACAGGGTCCCACTTTCTATTCAGGCCTAGAAAGAAGGGAGCACTAAGGAACAGCCCCCTGGTGAGGAAAGGAACCTGCTGGCCCTGAGTCATCTCGGGGGTGGGGGGTGTAGCAGGGGCTCGTGGAGGTCTGCATGAGTCCAGCTTCTCCATTCAGCCATGCCAGGGGTTGTCTGGATCTGCATCCCCCAGTCCTTGGGCAGGTTTCTGTATTTGACCCCAGGCTGGCCTTGGCCTTGGTCACATTGTCTGTCCTGAAGCCACTCTACGTACGCAGGTGAGGTGATTCATGAGACTTAATTCTGACCCTCAAAACCACCCAATCTCTGAAGCCTCTTTCTAGAATTCCCCCACCTAATTTCTTCTTTCTCCTTTAGAGAGGAACCTGACGATTCGTTTACCCACAAAGAGCTGAAGCAACATGGGCTGAGCTGTACGTGTCTGCCAGGGTCCTGGAGCCTTCTCCCACCCCACCAGCCCTACCACGTCCTGTCCCCAAGTGTGGGTGTCACTACCTTAGAGAGACCCCCATGCACGTCAGCTGCCTACGATAAAATCTCTTTCAAATTCTTCAGTAAATTTGTGGGCTTGTGCTTTTCCTGGGCATTTTTTAAAAAAGATTTTATTTATTTATTTGACAGATGGAGATCACAAGTAGGCAGAGAGGCAGGCGGGGGGGGGGGGAAGTAGGCTCCCCACTGAGCAGAGAGCCCGATGCGGGGCTTGATCCCAGGACCCTGAGATCATGACCTGAGCTGAAGGCAGAGGATTTAACCCACTGAGCCACCCAGGTGTCCCCTTCCTGGGCATTTTTAATGATTTTGCTGACATTCTCCCATTCGTGGGCACCCCCTGACCTCCATGGTTCTTTATCAGCTTATCGGCCATTTCCAGAAGATCTGTTGCCTGGTTTTCCCTGGTTTGGCCCATTTCTCTGTTATTAGAAGCACAGACTCCTCCCCCCACCCCGACACCTTTTAATGATGTTCTTAAGACTTTTGTTATCTGTGTTCTGGACATACTCTTCGAGGTCCCCTGACTCAAGGTCTTCCTTCCAAGTGAACAGCACGTCGTGTACTTCCTCTCCGAAAATGCTCTCCAAGTCCTTCACTGCCCTTTTGTCCTCCTGAGTGAACCATCCCAGCTGGAACACCAGGACCAGAACCTTGTTCCCTTCTTCACAGCAGGACAAACAGCCTCTGACCTCCTCCTCCAGGTGGGACAGACCTCCCTCGGCACTGGTCGTCAGGTAGAGTGAAGGCATGTCCACAACCACCACCTGCAGCTTGCCTCACATCCTCTCGCTGCTCTGGCACGTCTAGGTCACTGCCTGTGCTTGGAAATGAGAGCGGAAGTCGGGGTTCCCAAGGATGGTGTTCCCGGTGGCGCTCTTCCCAGTGCCGCTCCTCCCCACCAGCACAATGCTCAGGGTCTCTGTTGAAAAGAAAGCAGGAAAGATGGATGACCATGGGTTGATCTGGGGGCAGTTTTCAAAGCGCTGCCAGATGTCATGGCAGAGGATGCTCGGAGAGCACCAGGCCACCCTCTGACGCAGCAGCTCTCTCCCCAAGCATGGTTCCGGGCACGCTCTCTGGGAATGAGAAGCATGACTTGGACCACCATCTCTGCCCCGCGCTCACCCACGACATGGCACTGTTCCTACCTCTGAATTCACTCCCTCCTTCTGGTAGCTTCTCTGACTCCCTGGCACCTTGTGGGGGACCCTGGCTTTACTTCCCATCATCTACTCAGCTGCATCCAGACTCCACATCTCACCCCTTGGTCTTCTGTTCCTGGGGCAACAATGTCTTCCTATTGCCAACTAATGCTAAGTGCTGCAAAATCTCCTTGATGCGCTTGAGAAATTAACAACAGAATTGACTGTTCGTGAAAAAGCAACTACGTATACCGTTGACAGATTCCTCGTTCCTTCATTTGGATCACCAAAAATTCATTTCTCGTTAAAACCACATTAAACTGAATTGTCTTTCACTGATGCGTCAAAAGGCACTTCGTGGTTATAATAACGAACGCACACTCACGCTGTTTTGTGTGGTGATGATGGAGAACAGATGTCCCTAAAAATTGAGTGACAGATGCTAGAGACCTGGCAGTGGGCGCTCGTGGGGGCTCCTTATGACTCTCCACCTGTACTGTGGTCTTTCTCTTCTGCACTGGCCTTTTCACAGTTCTCTCATCATACATTCTTTGCCAATGTACCCATATCTGCCTTACAACAAAGAGGGAGGAAAGCCTACCCTGTGCTCTTTTAGGGCAAATTATTGCATTGCGTATCCTGAACCCACAGTCTCATAGTTATGCTTACAGGATTCTAGATCCATCTTCCAACAGTCTCACATTTGTCACGGATTTCAGTCCCTGCTTCCATACCCTCAGAGCGGGTGGTTCTCAAAGACCTCCACGATTGGGTCTATGATGGCTGTCCCACGTCCTGTAGAGGTGTGAACCCTCCATTTCCATCATGGCCATTCCTTGGCCGGCCCCTCGAGGGGTAGGCTCAGTCCCACCTCCCTGCTTCCGATTGCTGGAGTTTTCCCTGCAGTGTCTTCCAGCCTTCTGCCAGCCGCCCAAACCCTGCCCACTCTCCAAAGCCCATTACAAACTGAGCTTTCTCCACACAGACTCTCCGGATCTCCCTGCATGTCTCCACTTCTTGAGAAGGCTCCCGAGCACCTGGCCCTCCATGAGGACTGTGCAAGGGCTCCTAAGCAGACACAATCTTCTGAATCTGTGCTCTTCTCAGGGGAGGGCGTTTGAAGTGAAGGCAACGGTGAGTCATGTTGACTTGGAAGAATCTCAGCTCAGAGCAATGAGCATGTAGCACCGAGTGCACGGGGACATCTGCTAGAGCTGTGGGTGGTGTGGCTGGGCTGAGAAACCCACCTAATGCCATGTGAGGACTTGGGCTGCCAGTCTTCATCCTCCTCTCTTCAGAATGACCTCCCCTCTCCAACAAGTGAAGAGTAAGGAACCAAGAAGTCAAGAGAAGGAGAAGGAAGGAGAGTGTCAGAGTGGGCTTAAGAGAAAGAGAAGAGTAAACCAACTTTCCAGAACCATCTATCTCATCATGAGCACTGAGTCTTGAGCCGCAGGCAACAGATACACTGTGGGGAGAAGAAGAGATTGGAAAAAACTCAACAAGAGACCTTCACCATCCCGTTGGAGAGAGGGGGTAAGGGTCAGGAGAGAATGAAAGACAGTGTGTACGGAAAGGCTCATAACTTCAGTAACCTTGGAGAAAGAAAAGTTAGTCAACAGACTGGACCTGTCCTTTCCCTCTTCTCCCCGCCCTTCTGTATATTTCATATCTAGTTTCTGAAAGCATCTAGAAAAGGATATTTAGACGCTGTGTACCTTCCCCTCTAAAGCTACAGGGCCTGCCCCCATTCTGTTGCAGTGCCCGCAACTGTTTGCAGGAGCTCGTCCGCCTGGCGCTGCTCCTCTTCCTCTGTCACTCGGTAGTTGAAGACGAAGTACCGGTCACTGCACATGTCAGTGAAGTTGTAGAGAGCTTTATTTCTGTGTTTCAGGAACATCCGTAGATTCTGATCCCTGAGGTCTTCTTTCCTGGTGGAGAGAATGATCAGGTGCTTCACAAATTTGCCTCCGAATCTGGCCGGGTGGCGTCCAGGACTGCCTCATCTTTCTCGGTGAAGGAGCCCAGCGGCATCAGCAGCAGCAGGAAGGTGAGGGGCGCCCAAGGGCAGGGGGCGCCCAAGGGCAGGTCTCTGGAGCTCCGCTGTAAGGTCCCTTGAAGACAAGATGTCTGGAGCATCAGTGATCACAGCTCTCCTCTCTCTCCAGATTCTGCTCTCAGACACAAACCTCTGGGTGACTGACCCTTCGCTGAATTTGGTCTTAAAGACTCGATTCCCCAGAAGGCTGTTCCCAGCTGCACTTTTCCCGGCTCCACGCTTGCCTACAAGCAGGACCTTCAGCTCCGGTGGCCCAGGGTTCAGCTCACATCCTGGGGACTGAAGCGGCTTCTCCCCTCCCCTGGAGGACAAAAGAGCAGATTCAACATCTCCTCTTGCAGCTGAGTTCAGAGATGGGGGCAGGTGTTCTGCTTTCTCATCCTTGTCAGTTTTTTACAGAGAAGGCCGGTAGTGTTCTGAGCAGCAGGACGCTAGTCCCGGTCAGGAGCTACCTCTCCGAGTCAAAGCCACAAAGGGGCCCGTGAATAAATGAAGAGATAACGTAAAAATGGTCAAGATTTCCCAGGAACATGAAAATGTTAAACTTGGCCTCCTGTGATCTTGGTCCTTAGATTTCCTTTCATTTTGCTACCGAAGGTAAGTGCCTGGCTGTGAAGTCCACGGACTAAAGCAGGACAAGGGAGACTGAGTTTAAAATGCCCCATGGGGGGGCACCTGGGTGGCTCAGTTGCTAAGCGTCTGCCTTTGGCTCAGGTGATGATCCCAGGATCCTGGGATTGAGCCCCACATCTGGCTCCCTGCTCAGCGGGAAGCCTGCTTCTCCCTCTCCCACTCCCACTGCTTCTGTTCCCTCTCTTGCTGTGTCTCTCTCTGTTAAAGAAATAAAATCTTTAATAATAAGTAAATAAATAAATAAATAAAATGACCCGTGGAAAAAACAAATGAATAAAATAAAATAAAACGCCCCTTGATAGTATATTTATAAAATGTTTTACTGCTCAGCAATCAAAAACAAAAACAAAAGGATGAATGGATGAACTATTGATATGCAACATGTATGGATCTTCAAAACATGCTAAATGAAAGCAGCCAGACACAAAACACACACTATGGGGTCTCACTCCATGAAGTTCGAGAACAGACGAAATTAGTCTATGCTGTCAGAAGTCTGGATTCAGTTCCCTTTGGGGAGATGCAGCAGAAACTTGGGAAGTGATGGAAATGCTCCAGATCTTATTTTTTTTTTTAATTTGCTATTTTTTAAAGGTTTTATTTATTTACTAGAGAGAGAGAGAGCGAGAGCACAAGTAGGCAGAGCAGCAGGCAGAGGCAGAAGGAGAAGCAGGCTCCCCGGTGAGCAGGGAGCCTGATGTGGGGCTCCATCCCAGGACCCTGGAATCATGACCTGAGCTGAAGGCAGACGCTTAACAGACTGAGCCACCCAGATGCCCTGGAAATGCTCCAGATCCCTATCTACCTGGGGGTTACAGAGCTATACACTTAAGATGTGTGCATTTTACTCTATGTTAATTGTATGTCAATAAGTTACTGTAAAAACCTGGGCCACAAAACTATCTCCACACATGTGCCCTGCCCCCACCACTTCTCCTCTATCCAAGGTCAGCACCAGACCTTCAGGCTGAGCAAAGGTCAGGGTCAGCCACTTCCCGGAATATTCAGAGGCTGAGGCACCCCAGGCACTATCAGTGTGGATCATGCCTGGGCCTCTGAGCCGCAGGTCTGGGAGGTGGAATGAACACACTTTTAAAGAAAACCACCAAAACGCAGGTGACAGCTCATCCTTGTTGTCTTGGGAAAGCTCCTGCTTTCCCCAAAATCAGCTCACACAAGTCTGCATCCCACCAAGATAAAGTCCCTTCCAATGCCCTCATTCTGAGACACCCCCCGGTTCTTCATGGTGTGCTATTTCCTCAGGGTCACGAGGAATCATTTGGGGACATAACAGGCAAGTTCCTGGAGGTCTTGACTAAAGGGCATCAACAGAATTTTAAATCCCTACTTCTGCCTGAGTTCACATACCTCTGGCTAAGTTTACTCCTCTGTAAATGAGAATAATGATAATAACCACCTCTTCATAGGGCTGTTAGAGGAATCGATGTGTACAGTTATCATGAGAATTATATGCTGGGAAGATTGAATTATTTATATATATTTTCCAGTATATAATGTCAGTTGTGATTATCATTAAAATTGTAATTATAATAGTTATTATTATTAAGGGAATTCTATGAGGACAGAGATCTCATCTGTCTAATTCACTGCTGAATACTCAGTTCTTGCACAGAGCTGGCCCAGAAATAACCTAAAGGTCCATCAGTCGAGGGACGGTTGACTCAGTCGCATGCACCCCTTACCTTGGACAAAATTGCACCTACTAAACAGAACAAGGAGGCTCTTACAGGGACTGACTTGTGAGGTGTGCAGGATGTATCGTTAATGGAGATCATTACAAGGATCCTGACCTCCCCCAGTGAACTCCACAAATGAGTGGAATCACCATGAAGATGATTTCTGCTTTCCCGGGGGGAGTCAACATTGTATAGTCCTGGATCCAGGGCCAGAAAGACAAGGCTGAGTCCGGAAAGAAGCCATGAAAGGCAAGCCCACCTCCATAACATTCAGGGAAGGCCCAGGACACCCACGCCATGTCCAGAACCTACTCCCAAGTGTTAGGAGTTCCCTAGGGGACGAGCTGCGGACACCAACCTGAGCTAGGCCTCCAGAGTACATCTCTGATCCTACTTATCTAATTTTTCCACCTCATTTTGACTCATGATGCATTCAAAAGGATACAGATGTAAGCTTACCATTTTTAAGGATCATTCTTACCAAGTGGCTTGTCCCCCTTCTGGTCGTGGCTTCATTCATACAATCCTAGAAAATAAAGGTGGAAATGATGCACAGGGACCTAAAATTTCATCTTTTTGCAAAGTAAAGAAATGGAGACACAAGTATATAATTCAAAGTAATTTAATGAGGACGATGTGGTCAGATCAAGGCCATGGTCATGTTCCTTGTTGGCTTTTGTAGACCTGTCCACAATGTCAGTCGAGCTTCAGACCCCACTGCCGACAGCACAACAGGCTCCCCAGAAGTATGAAGACGGGTCTTGTTCTTGCTCAGAGGAGCCCCACAAATGCCATCTAACCAAGGCATTGAGCCCGAAGCTCTAACTTTCCTTCTCGCCAGTCTCCCAACAATAATGACAGTTCCTTTCCAAGTCTTCCAGAGTTTCTGCTGTTCTGGAGAAAATCCAGAGGCTTAAGAAGAGTGGACTTCCCGGAAGAAGAAACTAGCCCAGTGATGTCTGGAATGTCCATCTGAGGGACTGGGGGAAAGGAGGAGATCAGGCGTGAAACTCCTACACATCTCTGGTGTCTTCTCCCCACACTGTGCCCCCGGGATAGAAATGAAGCTGCTTTTGACGTAAGAACCAGAGACACTTGGAACTTTTCCCATCCAGGTGGGCAAATGGAACCAAACACACAATTGGTATTCCCTTCCCCTGCCTGGTAAAGCTGACAAGTTCCCCAAAATTTAAATTGTCATGGAATCAAAAGAGAGGGTAAAAATTATATACAATCCTGATGCGTCTGCTATTCCTAGAAGCTTCCAATACTTTATTTCAACCCTATTTTTGTTAAATCTCCATGCCAGCCAAGGAAATTTTCCCTCTGCTTTCTTACCTGGCCTTACCCCAAGCTGTGGGTCCCTTCCGCCATCCCTCTCCCCGGATCCTCCCCTCTCAGCTCTGACCCTCAGACGTCTTTCATCTTACCCAGCACAACTCAAATTCTTTCACGTGTTTTAAATGCCAAACGTTGTTGCAGTGCAAATGTGTATGATCTAAAAAGTAATAATTTTTAAATTTCTCACCCACTGTAAAAGGAGCAGCTGCTAATTAACATACATCCTTCTGTGTTTTTCTAAGTTTATACGCATACACACAAGCATATATGAACACACAGGGAGACTTGGTAGGCATCTTGCTCTGCAATCTGCTTCAGAATATGTCCTGTACAGCTGTACAAGTCAGTCCCCATAGATCAGCTCCGGTTTTTTAGGAGATGCTATTTGCTCCAAGGCATGGACATGGAACATTCCATCCTAACGTAACAGTTCCTTTACTGGTAGACTGTCAGGTTATTTCTGGTTTTACTATCTCAAGAGATGCCACGATAAGTATCCTTACACATACATCTTTATGTATGTGAATGTTTTATTTCTGGGTAATAGTCCTAAAAGTGGGAATCTTGCTGAGTCTCCGGGTTGTTAAAGTCCTTAATGTCTCCATAACTTATGTGAACCTTATACACATCCATAATAATGCTAATAACTGTAAGGTTTTATAGGCGAGATACATACGACACCAGGCAAGATAGGTGCAAGGCAAGGTTTATTAAAGGCGCTCTCTGGGGAAGTTCCGAGACTCAGGAGAGGAGAGTTGGAGAAGTCGCGCCCGGGAGGGGGTCGAGTGGGTCTTTTATTTGGGTTAAGAGAGGGCATAGGTTCACAGCCCTATAAAGGTAAGGTATTTGGGGCGTGGGTTCACAACTATATATGGTAAGGTATTTGGTGGTTGGAGGGTAGGGGGAGTCCTGATGTTCCTGTTTCCTGCATAAGTATCGGTTTACTTTTGGTGATGTGTCCTCGGCATACGTCCTTCCGGCGGGAGAGTCATGGGTAAAGGAAGAGGGCGGCCTGGAAGATGGCGGCCCTGCGGCCATCTTTATTGTTCCTCCTGCGTTCCCGGAGCTGCCGACCCAACAACAATAATAATAGGGGCAGCTGATAATCACCGAATGCTTACACCTCAAGTATTTGCAAATATTTTTGTAAGCATTTATTTGCATCGTCACAGAAATCTCTGAGATACATATTATTATCTCTGTTTTATGGAAGACAAAAATAAGATCCTGGGTCAACAGAATGGATAAGTTCTGTCCCTCAGGGAGTCTGTGGGGAGGCAACCACCACAAGTATATTCACAGCAATCACTTGACTCACCTGCTGGTGGCCGCGTGAGGAGCGCCATGATGGAAGGAGGAGCCGGTGGGGAAGACGCACTGAGGAAGTGAGCTCATGCTGAGGGAAATGGATACACAAAAGCAGACCTGGTATGGGGTCTGATGGGAGAGGGGACGTGTCCAGGTGAACTAAATCACAGGTTGGAAGCTCCAGAATGGACTGGATGCAAGTCAAGGACCACAGGGAAGGCCAGTGAGACCAACATCTGAAGAGCAAGTTAGAGGGTGAAGGACCAACTCAGGTCGGGGATTCTGAACTCCATCTGAAGATCAGTGGACAGTCACCTCGGCATTTTAAACAAGAGGGTGTTGGGTTCAGGGTACAGTGCACAGAGCTCATCCCATGCTCTGATCCTCTCTGCAGACATTCCTGTTCCAGTCAGCCTTCAAGAGACAGAAAGATGGTTATAAAGGAAAAAGAAGGAGGGCAGACCTAGGAGATAAGAGAGCAACAAGTTCTCTGGAGCCTCAGGGTCCTCATCTGTGGAACAGGGTACACAGAGCACTTGTGAAGATGTTGTCCGTTCATATGTCTGGGACTCAGTAGGTGCTCAATAATTGTTGCCTTCCTTCTCACCTCTGTCCTGTTTGGGCTTCATGCTCATCAGTTCTCAGAGTTTACTCTGACCAACGCCGCCCCCTACGCCGGATTTTTGCTTGCTTTACCTCTTTTGGCACTTGCGTTATGAATCCTCTGTAACAACATTCACTTACTTACCCTGAATCAGGAACTGTTTTGTGTCTTATGCATGAGTCACTCAAATCCAGGAGTAAGCTCCTCAAAAGCAAAAGCCTGAATTTTTGTATCTTCCTTAACTACAAATACATTTTCTACTCAGGTTTAGAAATTAGGGCACCTGGGTGGCTCAGTGGGTTAAGCGGCTGCCTTTGGCTCAGGTCATGATCTCAGGGTCTTGGGATCAAGTCCCGCCTGGGGCTCCCTGCTCAGCAGGGAGTCTGCTTCTCCCTCCCCCTCTGCCGCTCCCCCTGCTTGTACTCTCTCTTTCTCTGTGTCAAATAAATAAATAAAATCTTCAAAAAAAAAATTAAATAAGGGCACCTGGGTGGCTCAGTGGGTTAAGCCTCTGCCTTCAGCTCAGGTCATGATCTCAGGGTCCTGGGATTGAGCCCTGTGTTGGGCTCTCCACTCAGTGGGGAGCTGCTTCCCTACCCCCCACTTGCCTCTCTGCCTACTTGTGATCTCTCTCTCTCTCTCTCTGTGTCAAATAAATAAATAAATAAATAAAATCTTTAAAAAAAGAAATTAAATAAAATGTGACTGTGGCTCTTGTGTATGAAATGGATTGAGGGTAAGGCACAAGAATGAAAGAGGGGAAGGTTGTTTGTAAGACAGGACAGGCGAGAACCCAGGCTGGCTTGGATCAGACGTGGGGAATGCGGATGGAGAGAGGTGGGACTTCTGACCACAGAAGACTTGATGATTTCTCAGATATCAGCTGCCAGCTGGTAGTGGCAGCAAAGCCGACCTCTGGGTTTAGGTTCTAAGAGCCTGGTTAGCAGCACCACCATTTACCCAGTTGAGAGGAAAACGGAAGTCTTACAGATTTCAGAGGGAAAACCAAAAGTCTGGACGTGTGAAGTCCAAGGTCCTCTATGAGAGCCAATTGGAGCTGTCGAGGAGCAGTCGGATACGGGAGCAGGATTGAGAGGAGAGACCTGGACGACAGTGATGAATCTGGAAATCGTTAGCGATCGGCAGAGCTCAGAGCTGGAAGGCAGAGTTGAGGAAAGCCTAGAACCATGCCCTAAAGGTGCCAACTTTCAGAGGCCACGCGAGGAGAGCTCAGGAATCTCTGGCATAGCCAAAAAGGGCAGGAGTTAGAAAACAAAGAGTGTAGTTGTATTGAAGCCAAGGGAAGAGATGGTCCGGTTTGTGTGTCCAGTGCTGTGAGGGATAAAGTCAGGTGAGGACTTAAATGTATCCATTAATTTGCCAATAAGGGTAATATGCAAAGCCCCTGCCACCTGGTGCCTCATGTTGGTGGATCACGGATAAATATCTCCTTAAACAAAGCCTATGGTCCATCACACGGTGCCACACCTCCCGTATCCCTGCCCATCATCCACCCAAGAGCTCTAGCAACAAAGATCCTTGTAGACCTTAAGAATATCTTACCACGAATTCACGGCTTTTGTTTCTGAAGTTCACAATTTATGGTCCTCCATTTTCATGCAACAAATACTGGACCCGGCACAGGAGTCCCCTCACCTGACTGGCCGCTCCTCCTCGCTTGCCCTGTTGGTCAGAACCCAGTTTTGGCCTCCGTAGTTTTCAGCCAGCTCCGGGAGGTACCCCTCCCCACTGACGTAAGCTTGCAGTGCGTCACCCTCAAAATCATCCTCCTGAGTGAAAACGGTAATGATGTACTTCTTGGCATCGGCTCCAAACAGCTTGTGGATGCCCGTGACTGCCTCCTTGTCCTCCACCTTGTAACGGCCAATGGTAATTACCAGCAGCAGCACATGGAGGCTCCAAGCAGCTTTCAATGTTGGCGTTGCTTGTCTTCGGCACAAGAGATTGAGGAGAAAATGTCGGGGGTGTCGATGACCACAACCTTCCCCCCTCCTGTGGCCCCCCTCGCTCTCTGGCACGTTTTTGTCACCATCTGGCCACTACAACTGGACACAAACACAATTTTGCCCAGAATCATGTTTCCTGGGGCACTTTTCCCCGCACCACTCCTCCCCAAGAGGAGAAGCCTCAGCTCTGGCTCCGGCTCCTGATACGGCCCCCATTGGCTCTGCTGGACAAAAACAACACACCAATGTGGAACACATGAGAAGTCAACAGAGGGGCAGCAAGAAAATTCATTCTTTCTAGTTCCGCCCCAAGGACTGGAGCTACTGACGTCAACTCAAACTAGATTCGGATAAGCAATCCTGTTTCCCAGGATCCTCTCTGTGCTCTTGTCTCCGAACTAAATCCGTGTGAAGATGTCACACACAACTGGCTAAACTGACAGCCCCTTCTCTCTCTGTACCTCCCCCACTATACACACTGGGGTAAAAGCAGACACTATGAGACAATAAGGTCCCCTCCCTGAGATGTCCATGTGCTAATCCCCGGAATCTGTGGCTACGTTGTTACATGGGAAAAGGGACCTTGCCAATGTGATTAAGGATGTTGAGATGGAGAGATAATCTTGGATCATCCAGGTGGACCCAGTAGAATTACACTGTAAGAAGTCCTTCTGAGAGGAAGGCAGGAAAGTCAGAGTAAGAAAAAGGGGATGTGAGGACAGGAGCAGAGGTCAGAGAGTGACAGCGATTTGAAAATGCTACACTGTTGACTTTGAATGTAGAATAAAGAGCCACAAGTCAAGGGGGATGGGAGCAGCTTCTAGAAACTGGAAAAGGCAAGGAAACGATTCTCCCACACAGCCTCTGGAAGGATCCTGCCCAGCACCTTGATTTTAGGATTTCTGACCTCCAGAATTATAAAATAATAACCTGGTGGGTTTTTAGCAACTGATCATGTGGCAATTTGTTACAGCAGCAACAGAAACTAATACGCTCTCTTTCCCAGCTTCCTTTCAGCTGGAGTAACCATGTGACCTAGTTCTACCCAAGAACAATGAGGGAACATTTCCTTGGGCTTTCTTCTTATTTGGAATGTAAATGTGATATCTGGGGGCCCCTGAGTGGCTCAGTCAGTTAAGCATCTGCCTTCAGCTCAGGTTACGATCCCAGGATCCTAGGATCGAGCCCTGCATCAGGCTCCCTGCTCAGTGGAGAGCCTGCTTTTCCCTCTCTCTCTCTCTGCCCTTCATTCGTGCTCTCTAGCTCTCTTGCTTTATCTCAAATAAATAAATAAAATCTTTAAAAACAGTAAATGTGATATCTGAAATCACAGCAGATATCACGAGACAATGAGGTAACCAACAAGAAAACAAAAGGCCAGTGTGTGCCATCACACTGAAGGAATGAAGAGCAGAGAGATAAAAGAATTCCTGATGACATCACTGAGCTGCCAAAATATCCTTGAGATCACCTTTTTTTTAAAGATTTATTTATTTATTTATTATTTTTAAAAAATTTATCTATTTGACAGAGAGAGAGGAAGAGAGAGCCAGAGAGCACAAGTGAGGGGAGTGGTAGCGGAAGAGGGAGAAGCAGGCTCCCCGCCAAGCAAGGAGCCTGATGCAGGACTCAATCCTAGGACTCCGAGATCATGACCCGACCCGGAGGCAGACACCTAACCGACTGAGCCACCCAGGCACCCTAAGATCACCTTTTTGTTAAGTAAACAGCTGATATTCTAAAGATCTAGCTGCTGCTACTCAAAGCACGGTTCACAGGCTGGCGGTACTGCCAGTAATGGAGGCCATGTCAGCAGTGCAGAATCTCAGTCTCCACCCAGACCTCCTGAATAAGAATCTGTAACCGAACAAGCTCCAGATGCTTCTCACGAACACTCAAGTTTGAGAAGCACTGGTGTAAGACACCATTAGTTCAAGATTAGCATTCCCAGCTGAATCAGGACCCACTTGAGGAGCCAAGTTTCCCAGCACCATTTCTTGAACAGTCCCATCTTTTTCCAAATGATTCTGTCAGATACCATGTGCCCGAATTTCCACGAGTCTATTCCTAGGTTCTGTTCCGTCCACTAAATGCTCACTCAGTCTATTCCTGAACCAGAAAATGTTATTTACTAGAACCAAAATGACTTAATATTATCCTACTTAAGATACAATTTTAAACCTTCATTATGTGATCAAGGAGGTAGGTCCCAACACCTTGCTATTGTTCAAAACTGTCACGCTCTTCTTGGCTTTTTAATCTCCTGTAGGACTTTGAAAATCATTTGTCCTTGTCTTTAGGAAATCCCTGTTGAAATCTAGAATGCCATAGCATTGAATGTGTAGCTTAGTTTTAGAAGAACTGACATGTTCATAGGGTTCTCTTTTTGTTGGTCAGTTTTAAACATATTCTAATTTCAACCATTAGTTCTTTTTGATTCATAAATTAGGAGAAGTGATTACCAAATTTAAAAATGTATTGGGAGACTTGCTATATTTTTATTTATTTCTAATATTATTACTCTCTGGCCAGAGAACAACATCTGTATAAAATGTTTGTCACTGGTCAAGATCTACTTTTTTTTTTTAAAGATTTTATTTATTTATTTGACAGAAAGAGACACAGAGAGAAGGAACACAAGCCGGGGGGGCGGGGGAGAGGGAGAAGCAGGCTTCCTGCTTAGGATTTGGGCCTCAATCCCAGAACCCTGGGATCATGACCTGAGCCGAAGGCAGACACTTAAAGGCTGAGCCCCCAGGTGCCGGAGATCTACTTTTTTTTTAACACAATAAAATTTTTGTAAGTGTTTCATGCAGGCTTAAAAAGAATGTGTAGCCTGCATTTGGGGATGCCTTTCCCAATCAGAGACCCCACCTCGATTCTACCAGCTAGGCTCCAGGTATCCAGAAGGTCCAGCATGTCCTTCCCTGCACCGGTCTCTTCTCTGTCTGGAAAACTCCTCCCCATTCTTCACCACTTAGCTGAAGTGTCACCTCCGTGTCAAGCCTGTCGTCATTTTTCCAGATTGAACTGATCACGAGCTCCTCACTGGACTTCTGCAGTACCACTATCATGGTCCCCTGCTTCCATCCTTCTGGAGCCTACTGTCCATCAGCAGCCAGTGTGATCCTACCAAAACAAGAGACAGATAATGTCCCTCGTCACTCCAAAATCCCCCAATGCCTTCCCAAGGACTTGAAGTAACAGGCAAAGCCTTTGCAGTGGTCGACAAGACCCTACCCAATCTGGGCTCTAGCTGCCTCTCTAATCTCATCCCCCACCCCCCTCACCTTGCTTTGTCTGGCGCAGTCACATCAGCCTCCCTTCTATTCCCCAAACATGCAACCTTGGGGCTCTATGCTGATTACTCATCTGAACTAGAACATTCTCCCCCCAGTGTTGTGCAAGGCAGCTTCCCTTCCTTTAGGTCTTTGCCATATTGTCCCTGTAATGCAGAAGGCATTCTGCAGTCATCCTATAATTAAGGGCAACTCTCCCTGCTGCCCCACCGGCATCTGTGTCCCCCCCACCCCCATTCTATTTTTCTTCCCAGCAACCACGACAACCACCTTTCACACAGTGCATTGACTTGCTTATTGGTTTCTTTTTTTGTCTTCCCACCACTGAAAGGTAAGTCCCGGGGAGAAGGAGGACTTGCCCTGGTTTATTCACCACATCTACTGCTTAGTGAAGGCATTTGCTGCTAAGTACCTGCTTATGACAGAGTGGATGGCTATGAACTTGAATAACAAAGACCAGCAGCTGAAAGACCTGAAGAGTGGGATGGGAGAGCCCTGGCTGGGAGAAGCCGGGAAAGGCAGTGCGCAGACTCCTCCTCCCAGAAGCCCACCATGAGAAAAAGGCAATGGACTGAGTGGGGATCAGAGAAGCTGCCACGGATGGAGACCTGGGCTGTTCTCTAGATCCGCATCTCCAGATCTCCACGGGATGCAGGAGGCAAAGCTGCCTGACCTGGACACACACCTCAGAGCTGTCACACCAAGGAGAAACAGACTTCTTGGCAGCTGAGGTCCAGTCACCATTGGGACGCTCTTGAGAGTACCCCAACCTGTGTCTGAATGAAGAGACCCTCCCCCGAACTCTCCATCCCCCTTAATCTCCTTGACTTTGCTCACAATGCTGTTCCTATCTGATAGTATCTACTGTGTCTAGCTTCTATGTTCTCTTTTCTCTCTACCATTCTTAGTATGAAACTCCTTAAGTGCAGAGACCGCTCCTGTCTTGTTCTGTGTCCTGATGTCCCAATACTGTGCCTGGTACATAGCATACACTCCATAAATGTTGTTAAGTGAATGATCGTAGGGGAGAGGACGAAAGGAGGAAAGGAGGAAAAACAGTTTTTAGGAATGAAGAGGGAGTTAAAAGTGATGTCACTTATTTTTTTAAAATTTCCATTCTGCTTTGTTAGGTATTTATTTTCTTCTATTTTCAACTTTTAAAAAAAGATTTTTTAAATTTATTTCAGAGAGAGCATGAGCTGGGGGCGGAGCAGAGGGAGAGGGAGAAGCAGACTCCCCTCAGTCCATTAAGCCTCTACCTTTGGCTCAGATCATGATCCTAGTGTCCTGGGATAAAGCCCAGTGTCCTTCTCCCTCTCCCTCTGCCTGTGGCTACCCCTGCGTGTGCTCTCTCTCTCTGTCAAATAAAATCTTAAAGAGAGAGAGAGAGAGAGAAATCTTATATTGTATCCCAAGCCAGTGAAGCGGTATTTTTTTGTACATCAATTTTTTTAAGTAAAAAAAAAAAAAAAAAGACACTAGTGGGTAAATAGGTGAAGGAAGCAGACACCTCCAGCAGATCTGAAGAAGAAAGGAATTTATTTCCCACCTAAGCTCCGCTGTTTTACATGATTGCCCATCCTAGTTACTAAATTAGTCTTTGCTAAACTCCTAGCCAGGCTGCCATATTGAACCAGGACGCCACTTCCCTATGTGGACAGTTGCCAACCTGTAGCATTTTCTCCCCAGGATATAAAAACACATTTAAGGACAAATAGGAGCCAACATACCCCCCTCCCTCAGTTCTCCTTTACCCACGCTGCCCTCCATCAAGAACTTCAGTTGCGACTCCCCATCAGCCCTCAGGTCTTAGGATAGAGCCCGAGGGGGGCGTGGCTTCAGCCATCGGAGCAAAGCTCCCAACCGTGTGGGGACCTGTCCCACATTAAGGGGCAGTTCGCAGCCACAGAAAAAGATGGCCAGAGACGCTTCCAGAGCTCAGTCTGGGGAGGACTCCGTCCCAGCCCAGCAGGTCAGTCATCAGGAGGAGGAGACAGTTCAAAAGTGAGAGCCCGAGAGGCTTTAATGTAGGTAAAATCAGTCTTGTTTCTGGCAACCACTGGCACCTTCAGTGCTCAGTTAACGGGACCCAAAAGTGCACGGGAAGGAAAATACTAGAAAAGAACCTGGAAGGTGAAATAGAACCTGGAAGAACTGCTCTAGGTGAACTAGAACCTGGAAGACCGGCGTCCCACCTGCTAGCTTCGCAGGGCGGCTGGGTGGCCTCCCGCGGGCTCCCTCCCACCCAAACCTGGCCCTGCCATTGGTCCCTAAGTGGGGTGGGGGCGCGCAGCGAGGACGCCTTCCCCCTGGAAGGCCGGGCCTGAGCGGCTGGTGGCCGGGAAGCCGGTGGCCAGGGAGCCCGAGCCCGCTGCCCGCCCTCCAGGGGACCCCGCTGCCCGCCCTGGCCGCCACGTGCCGCGGCCTCGACCCCGCGCCGGCGCGCACGCACCTCGATCCTATCCCCGCGCGCGTCGCAGGCTCCGTGGCTCCGGGGAAGCCCCCGAGGTCCCCGCGGGCAGCGTGGAGATAAAGCAGTGGCGAGCACCGAGAGGTCTCAGCTCTGATGTCGGCTGGGGTGGGGGGTGGGGGGTGGCGTTCGCACCGGTGCCAGGTTGGCGCCCCCCGGGACCCGCGGGTAGGAGCGGACGCGCGCGCGGAGGCTCGGTCTGGAGGGGCGGCGCCGGGGCCGGAGCCCAGGCCGAGCTTCAGGAGGGTCCCCAGAGAGGGTCACTGTGCAGGGGCTCCCCCACCCCGGGACGGACCCGCGGCGCCGGCAGAGGCTGAACCCGGCCAGGGCGGGGACCGCGCCCAGCCGGCGGTTCTTCTCCAGGTGACCTCCGCCACCCCGACACCAGACCCCTTCCTGGACTGCGGAAACTGAGCAGACGCTGCTTTCTCTCTCCCTCTCCCACCTCCAGCAGCTCCTCACACGGTTCCAGGGGGACCTTTCAGCCGGACCTGGGGAGCGCGCCGCGTCCCAGCGAAGAGACTCCTTCCTAGAGCTGGGGAAGCCCTCGTAATGCTAGAGCTCCCTGGCTTCCCAGTCGTTTGTAAAAAAACAAAACAAAACAAACTTGGAAAAAAAAATAGATCTTATTTACTTATCTGACAGACGGAGATCACAGGTAGGCAGAGAGGCAGGCAGAGAGAGAGGAGGAAGCAAGCTCCCTGCTGAGCAGAGAACCCGATGGGTCCTCGACCCCAGGACCCCAGGATCATGAGCTGAGCCGGAGGCAGAGGCTTAACACACTGAGCCACCCAGGCGCCCCATAAAAGAAATTTCTGCAAGTGATAATGGTTTCCGAAAGCCCCCTACTGCAGAAGGCAGTCGAACGCTGAGCCTTACTTTATTATGGTTTTTAAAAAGGCAACACACGCATAACATTACATAAATTTACCATCTTAGCTATTTTTAAGTGCACAGTTAGGAGCCTCAAGTACATTCCTTGTTGTGAAAAGAGTTCCGCAACTTTCCTATCCTGAGACAGTGAAACTCTGTACCCATTAGCCTCTAGTTCCCCTCCCCCAGCCCCCGGTAACCACCTCCCTACTTTGTTTCTTTTTTCTTTTCTTTTCTTCTTTTTTTTTCTTTTCTTTTCTTTTTTTAAAAAGACTTTATTTAGGGGCACCTGGGTGGCTCAGTGGGTTAAAGCCTCTGCCTTCGGCTCAGGTCATGGTCTCAGGGTCCTGGGATTGAGCCCCGCCTTGGGTTCTCTCTGCTCAGCAGGGAGCCTGCTTCCCCCTCTCTCTCTGCCTGCCTCTCTACTTGTGATCTCTTTCTGTCAAATAAATAAATAAAAGCTTTTAAAAAAAAGACTTTATTTATTTATTTGACAGCGGGAGAGCTTGCTGGAGGGGCAGAGGGAGAGGGAAAAGCAGGCTCCCCGCTGAGCAGGGAGTCCCTCGCAGGCACCACGCCCCTGGGGGCTCCACCCAAGGACTCTGGGATAGAAACCCCAGCCAAAGGCAGATGAGTCACGCAGGCACCCCTCTCCTTTCTGTTTCTACGATTTTGAGGGCTTCATATACTTCCTATGAGTGGAATCAGACACTGTTTTTGCCCTTTTTAGGTCTCGTCCTGGAGGTTCATCCCTGTGACAACACGTTTAATGGGAAGGTGGAAGCTGATGGTCCTTGGACTGGAGCTCCCACCATCACACCAGGCTTGGTCTTTGAAATGTCTGAGGTGGTGCTGAGATTTCCAGAGGGAGACTGGGGGCGGGGGCGGGGGGTGTGTGGCTGAGCAGGTTTTGAGGGGCTGCTCTGTCCTAAGGGGTCCATCTCCCCTCTGGGCTGTTCTTCATGTTCCCCCTCATTAAGAAACCAAAGAAAACCTGGAGATGTGGCCCTGCCCACCAAGAACTTGAGTCTGTACAGGCCACATCTCGGTGAGAAGAGTCTCTCCCAGGGACTCCTGGGTGGCTCAGTCAGTTAAGCGTCTACCTTCCAGTTCAGGTCAGGATCCCAGGCTCCACTGGAAGCCTGCTTCTCCCTTTGCCCCTCTCTGCTCTTTCTCTCTCTCTCTCACTCACTCAAAAACATAAATAAAATCTTTGGAAAAAAGAAAAAAGCAGCCTCTCCCCTTCCCCACCCAATTTACACCCCTAGTGAGAAGGACCTTCCTAGAAACAATCCCCACCCCTCTTTGGGGTGCTAGGTCAATTCACATAAAATCAATTCATTACCCTTGGGGCAACTAATACATTATATGTTAATAAAAGTAATTAAAAAATAAAAAGTAAAAAAGTAAATGTGTACTGTCGGAAAAAAATCAGTTCATTAAAATAATCAGACAAAAGCCTTCAATCCCACCTTGTGATCATCCCAGCTGTGTCCTCCCAGGAGTGAAGGTCAGTTCAGGGGCACAGAGTCACAGCCTTGTGGACTATCATTTCCCCAAAATAGAGAAATTAGGAAACCAAGTTCAGGAAAAGCTCACTTCTTCTGAAACATGAAGCATTTGGGGAGCATTCTGAGTAAAACCACGGCTTCAAATAATTCCTCACTGATTTAGCAAGCTATCTGCTGAGCTGACCATTTTTACAAAATGATCTTTCAGCACACGGGCCTAGAAAATTGAATTCTGTCGGGAAGGCTGGTTGGGCTGGCATCTAGGGAAGGATGGGGGTTTCCTGCCCCCTAGTGGCTTTGTGGCTAATGACAAGGGCGGCAAGACCACTTCCAGGCACTTCTCCCTTCCTCTCAGAGGAGGTGAAGAGGGAGAGGGCTGGCCTTCCCCAAATCATATAAGCCTGGAAGACACAAACTATGCAAACATCTACCAGCCCCTATTAGACACAGGGGCTCAAAGAACCTGCAAGACGGATCTCCATTGAAGGAGATCAGTCAAATGATGGGAAGAGGGACTGAACCATGGTTACGGAGCAATGGGACAGGAACTGTCATAGTGTTCGGGGTGCCACGGGAGCAAAGAGGAAGCTCCATAACTCCTACAAGATGGAGAAACAGCACAGTGGGGATACAAACTTAGAAACAAATCCATAAACCGTTCATTTTCTGCGGCAGGTTACCGTCATGGAGAACATTAGCAGACTCATGGGAGAACGAATCCACACAGCAGAGCCTGTGCCTATCCGAAGCCATGAAGGGCATGTAGAAGTTTTCCCTCAAAAGACACGCAGGCAGAGGGAGAAGGGAAACCCCGCAGGCGCTGGGCATGCTGTGAGCAGCTTGGGCGCATGGGGAGGCGGGGTCGGGCTGGAGGTAGGAAGACCAGCTAGGGGGTACTGCAGTAGTCCCAGCTCGATGTGCAGTGGAAAAAGGAACAGATCAATGATATATCTAAACGATGGAGACAATGAAATAATTTTTAAAGCGGCTAATTCAGGGTTGCTCTGGCAAGTTTTCAGGCTGCCACATCAAAGGGAGGTCTGTTCACCGCACAGGCGATGCCTTATTTCAAAAAGCTGTGTTATATGTTGTTCAACTTCACTGATGGGAATTGTATGTTTACTACAACTTTGGCAGATGGTAGTAAAGTGCCTTGTAACTAAATTCGCATATTTTGACAGTTTTCTGATGGAATGAAATGTCCTTGTTTGTTACGGTACTTATTAAGAAATAATACACTCATTCGAAATAAGTCAATCAGAGAAAGACAATTATCATATGATCTCCCTGATATGACGAATTTGAGAGGCAATGTGAGGGGTTTGGGGGGAGGGAAAGAAAAAAGGAAACAAGATGGGATCAGGAGGGAGACAAAGCATGAGACTCTTAATCTCACAAAACAAACTGAGGGTTGTGGGGGGGAGGGGGGAGGGATGGGGTGGTTGTATGATGGACACTGGGGAGGGTATGTGATATGGTGAGTGCTGTGAAGTGTGTAAACCTGGCGATTCACAGACCTGAACCCCTGGGGCTAATAATACATTATATGTTAATAAAAAATAAAAATTTTTTTAAAAAGAAAGAATATGCTCATTTATAAATGTTTCACTTGAAGTAGAGACACCATTTTCTCATTCACATAAAGGCTGGTAGCCATCCCAGACCGATTGGCTGTGGAATGTCTGGGGTCAAAGCCCTTCTAGTGGCTTTCTGGGAGACAGAGCTGTGAGAGACTCATGTTTGGGAGGGGTGGGGGACACTTTAGCTTGGGGACACTGAGTCTTGGGCACTAGAGACAGGGGAGGCAGAGAAGTCCCAAAGGTCATGACTGATTCCTCCTTCCCTTTTAATTCATGTCAACCCCCCACTGGAAACAACCGAAATTAAGCAGGATAAACATGTTGTCTTCTCAAAAGCATCCAGGAAGCATTAAAGCAGTAAGGAACTAGGAGGCCAGAGCAAGAACTGAAATGCAAGGACGATGCATTCCCTGTGGCCTGTGCCCCACCCCACCCCACTCCCGGAAAGATGAGAACTTGGCTTTGCAGCCTCCCTGGGAGAGCGGATCAGAAACCAAAGCCCCGGGGGAAGGGTCAGAGCAAACCTTCCCTGGACAAAGCGACCCCATCAGGGAAGACCGCTCGGGGCTCTGGTGGCGGCACGAGAGGCCGGGTGCTGAAGCTTTGTCAGGGACTTGAAGGATTCGGGTAAGCTGGTGGCAAAGTGCTGGAGGACTCCAGGGGCACACTAGTCACCGCGATTAGGCCAGGTGTGTTCGCAGAGTGGCGCCCCCATCAATTAGGCGTCTCCCCTCCCACAGAGACTGGGAGATGGGCCACTCCCTCGATGGGTACATTTCAAAGGGATGACACCCACATCCTTGAGAACGACAGCTCTGGGTTGTACGACTGGGAGGAGGCTTTTTAAAAGATTTACATCTCCAAGGGGCGGAGAAAGAATTGCAATTACAAGGTTTCTACAGTAAGTTCTCTAAGAAGGGAGAGATGGGGGGGGCAGGCGTAGAGACAGACCAGTGTCAAGTTTGAACACACCTGGCGACACCTGTGTCTGCACGGCGGCAGTGGCCGGCGGGAGCACACACACCTGCTGGCGGGCTTCTCCTCATGTTCCAGTTAGTGTCCTGCTCTGGCTGTCACCCTGGGGTCGGTTTCACAGCCCTAGCCCCTCCCCACTGCCCCAGCCAACTACTTCCTAGCCTCTCCTCTCTTCTAACACTCTCCCAACTCCCCGTCCCCACTCAGTGGGTGACCTTGTCTTCTTCCTTCTTTTTTTTTTTTTTAAAGATTATTTATTTATTTGAAAGACAGAGATCACAAGTAGGCAGAGAGGCAGGCAGAGAGAGAGAAAGAGGAAGGGAAGCAGGCTCCCTGCTGAGCAGAGAGTTCGATTTGGGAATCAAGACCTAAGCTGAAGGCAGAGGCTTTAACCCACTGAGCCACCCAGGCGCCCATGTCTTCTTCATTCTTAAGGAAAACAGAAAGGGTAGGTCCAAGCACCCCACCGCTAAGTCCCTACCACCCACACCCACACCCACACCCACTGCACTGCCCAACCCCCGCACCTCCTCCCACCTCACCCCCTCCCGGCCTTGGGCTGTGCCATGGACTCCACCTGCTTTCCCAACACCTTGACCGACCTGTCCGACGTGGCCTGAGCCCAGCTCCTCTGACTGTACACCAACCCCTCTTCTTGCCCCTTCTCAGGCACCTGGCTCTGACAAGTACCCCTCGCCCGAGGCCATCTGTGTCCCCTGTCTCCGGGACCACTGCCAACAGCATGCGGACCAGGCATGTTCTCTCATCCTCAAAAAAGAAAACTCCCTTACCCCGCTCTCCCCTCGGACTACCACCCAATTTCTCTCCTCTTTACTGCAAAATTTGCTGGTGTCATATCTAGACTCAAGATCTCCTTGGGAAGAAGCAATCTTTCCAAGTAATTACAATTTCCAAGTAATCTCTACAGCCAGTGCGGGGCTCAAACCCACAACCCAGAGATTAAGAGTCAAGATCCAGAGTCGCAGACTCTACGGACTGAGCCAGCCAGGCGCTCCGCCCCTGCCCCCCAGCTTTAATCCTCTAGGCCTGGGGTGTTGGACAGGGAGGGCGGGGCCATCTGCAAATGACTCTGTGGGGGCCTAGCAGGCTGCGGGCTGGAGCAGAAGCTGAGCACGAGTCCCCCTGGAGCGTCGGGGCTGCTGCGCTCGGGCTGTAGCCCCCAGCCCCACTCTGTGATTCCCCCAGGGAGTTCTTGATATGTTTTCTTTCCTGTGCGTTTTGGTTTGGGGTTTTCTGAGTGGTTTGTTTTGTTTTTGTTTTTGTTTTTTTTCTGCTGCTGCTGCTGCTATTTTTGGTTTTGTTTCCTGGACTCTTCATTTTTCTGTCCCTTCTTCTCCAAAGGACAGACTCAGCAGAGGGGACGAGTACCAGGCAGTGAGGCTGGCATCTGGCAGGACCAGGCTGACCTTGCCCTCTGGCCAGGAAGCAGGAAGCGCCCCCCCCACCCCGCACCCCCGTGCTGCCATCTGGGGCTGAGCAGGCGGAAGTGTTTGGAAAGCACCCCCTCCCCCGCAGGCCTAGGAGAAGAGCCACTCCCTGACACACACCCGGTGCGTGGCAACCAAGAAATAACGCCAGAAACAGACGCCTTGTGCTCCTGCTTCTCTACTTCCTGAGGGAAAACTGTCATGAGACACTTTCCTATGACTTCTGCAACTGGGAGAATGCTCCACCCCCCCACACTCCACCTCCCCACTCCATAAGGCCCACGATGGCCTCTTCCAGTGAGGTTCCGGAGCACAGGGCAGGGAGAGCCGTGCTGGTCCCTTGCAGAGAAGGGCCACCAAGAGCTGTCCTGCAGGCTGGCTGGCTGTGTCCTGCGGTGTTAATTGTAGGCAAGACAAAGGGCTCCCTTGTCGTTAAGGCAATGGTCATTCTCTCTCCACCTCAGCTTGCAGCAAAGAAATGGAAGAGCTGAATTGCTTCTGGAAGGTTCTAGAGAAACCCAGACCAGACACAAGAGTCCTAGAGACCTGAATCAGTAGTGAAAATAGAAAGTTCTTAAACTGCAAGTGATAGATAATGGTAGAGAAACAGCTTTTTGGAGGTTAAAAGCATGTTTGTATCAGACCTCTGAAAGGTCAAGAGTGGTTATAGTGAGAGACTGGACTTTAACGTAAAGAAAACCACCCAGAGAGAAGGAACACGTCAGCCTAAAGGGAAGGGGAATTTCTATGCCAGCGGAGCTTACAGCCTCCCAGGGCTTCTGTGAGGGGGGACAGCTTCACACTGGTTCTTCTCCCAGAAGTTTCTCCAAATTCTTCAAATTTGTTCACCTATAAAAAGCAAAGCTTTCGGGAGAGGGGAATGGGGAATTATGGTTTTACAGACACGGAGTTTCAGCTTTACAAGACAAAGAGCACCTGGGATGGGTGGCTGGGATGGTTGCACATGTCCTTGACTGCGGGAACCCTGACGAACTTGAGATGGAAAGGGAAGGCTTTCGGCCGTGACGCGACCTCCACAGCAAGCTGTTCCTCTGGAGGGTCTGGGTCATTCCCCATCTTCGGAACACCGCTGCGCACGAGGAGAGCTCCCGAAAGGCAAGGACCCCGCCCTGGCTTCCAGCGGGAACTCCAGCTCCCGCCAGAAAGCCAGCCCATGAGGGAGAGTGCCCCTATCCAGGGATGAATGAATGAGTGAGGGAATGAATGAAGGAGTAAATGAGAAAAAACCCACACTCCTCCATTCTGGGTTTCTGGACATATATCCCAGGAGTTACACATCTCTGCCTCTGGCTTGCCTTGGGATCCTGGCGCCGGGCCAGCTCCCCGAGCTGCAGATGCAGCACAGCCACCCCCACTGCACCCCGAGCTGCAGACGCAGCACAGCCCCCCCCCCCCGCCCCCCGAGCTGCAGACGCAGCCCAGCCCCCCACTGCACCCCGAGCTGCAGACGCAGCACAGCCCCCCACTGCACCCCGAGCTGCTGACGCAGCACAGCCCCCCACTGCACCCCGAGCTGCTGCATGCAGGGACCCCGTGAGCACACGCTGTCCTCCAGTGCCCAGCTTCCTGGGCTCCCACCAGACCCGCACCCCGTCCCCAGAGGACCCTTCCACAGCGGTGTCCAGGGGCCCCTGCTGCTGGGATCCCTGGGGACTTGTTCTG